AGAATCTCTTCTATGCCCTGTGCAGAAGGTAATTCTTATCTCAGACACCTGCTGCAGTTGATGCAATGGTAGAGGAAACAGGACAATTCTCCTCCTCTCCCTCTACTCTAGATTATAAACTTACTCTATAGGTCATGATAGTTTTTATTCCATTGCATTAACAAAATGCAATCATACTAAAGCAAGCTGTTTTCGAAGGAACAAAGCAAAATACTAACTAGAGAGGTGGAGTAATTTTCAGCAACACTGATAGAAGCACCAAAATAAAGTAAATTTTAATTACTAGAGAATACCACAGGGAGGAAAAAATTATTAAGAAAAGTAACTGATGTTATAAATTTAAACAGAAAAATCACTGTGGTCTTTTCTATTTATTACTCCAGTAAAAAGGCAGACATGTTAAACTCGGAGGCAAGATTAAGATGTATTTATTCTCATTGTAATCTAAAGCTTGGAATATACAGAAGCAGTATTTTGGAAAGAGGTGTGAATTCAAAACAGTCCTGGAACAAGATGGACCCACAACTCAGTGTGCTCTAAATGCAGGAACACATCTTCCACCAAAAGAGAACAGATGCAGAAGAATGACATTTTATCCCACACTTAATGCTGCTACGTGGGAAGGTCCTACAAGGCTGAAAACAAACTTCAGCAGTCATGTCACATTTTAAATGAGCTGAAGCACCTGCCCTGGTGAAAGAAAGAGGACGTCTTGCACTGGAAGCTTCAAGAACATTCTCCCTCTTTGAACAAACTCACCTGTGACCTCAGTTAACTTGTTTTTTTCTCCTCATCTCTCTTCTTCACGGCTGATTTATGAATTACACCAGGGCACAGAGGCCAGCAGAGCACCAGGGCCAGCAGAAGGCAGGCAAAGGGAACCATGATTAAGGAAGGAGTGGATCTGCAGCTCTCCTTCCAGGGCCAATGCCTCATTACACCCGGTGGCTGGCTACCTCCCCCTGAAAAAGTCACAGCCTAATAGCAGCAAGCTCCAGTTTGAGCACTGTGTCTCCTTTGCATCTGAAGTAAAGGTGGATTAGTGGCAGACATTCTGAGGTTTCCCTGTCATATTGGTATGGTCAAAGACCATGGCATTAAAATGTTTAGACTTCCCCACAGACAAAACTGCATTTGTTTTCAGAATTGTCTTCACTCTCTATTTTTTCTTCATCGTAAAAAAAAAAGCTATTTTCACATCAAAGGTAAAAATAGAACAAACAAGTTATTTCTGGGAATCCTGAAGACACAGCCTAATTATTTTCTGATGCTGACAGTAAGAACACCCTTTCTCTCTTCACCAGCTCTATGGGATGCTCTGCCTGTACGTGCAGCTTCACAGCAACACAGAGCAGCTGCTGTCACCTTGCATTCTCCTTCCCCTGTGGAAGGAGGACAGTGGAGTAAAACTTGTGGTTACAGCTCTTACCAGCTATAGGATCCATGGCTTCTCTATTGCTTGGAGAATACGAACTCTGAGAAGATGAAAGCCCACCAGGGGAACTGGTAGTAAAGTGCATGTTTGATCTACGAGCACGGGGGCCTCCCAAACCCCGGCCTGGGTGGAACATCCTACGTACATGCCGAACGCCACTGGATTCGTCGTAGGCAAGAAGTTAAGAAAACAGAACTGTCTGGCACTGAGTGTTAAACGACCATCAAAAGACATCTGATGGGTCAAGTACTCGGGTATAGTGCTCTTGATTCATAATGATTCAACTTCTGAAGCAAAGTTAAGGTAGGCTGTAGCTCTGCTACAAGTCAGACTTACTGATCTGGTAATATTTTTTTAATCAAACTTCTCTATGAAAACCCACACAAATCCATGTGTTGCCAAGCTCACTACTGAGACAGGCATTTCAGTTCTTCCTTCCCAATTCTTACATTAAGCATCAAAACTAATAAAAATGTTTACTGCAATTCCTATCAGAATAAATACCAAATTCCTTTTGACTTCTGTACTTCATGCTTTTATACAAGAAATTTCATTGCTTCAGTCCATAGGAAACTGTAGGTTTCTGGAGTATTCAGCACATCCATCACATCCCTTTGTTTCGCCTTTCTTCTTACAGCCAAAGAAATATCACTAATCCCAGTATTACAACAATACTTTTCATTTTTTCTTTTTCACCCACTTCCCCCTATCAGATGCTTGTGTCACTTTGAAAAAAGGTTATCATATAAATTTTGAAGTAATTAACAAACTTAAATAAAGATTATTTTTGTCATAAATTTGTTAATATTCATTCCTCCAATACAGTCCAGATAAGGCTTCTTCCTAAAAATCACTCGTATGACTCACTGGTAAAAAATGAAATAGCATAGGCTTTAATATTTTGTTTTAGTGTTATTATAATTCAGCTTAGATCTCCATCTCCTATGTTTTTTTATTTTTATAATAGTATGGTTACCACTCATATGGTATCAATTTCTGTGTGAGGGTAACATCCAATGTAGTTTTTTAAAATCACAGTTATGGGGCAGAATCTCATGATATCATGGAGGTCAAGACCTTAAGGCTGAAAGGAATGACTTGACTTCCCATGGCAAGAGAGAACTTCTGGCCATTACAAGAAGATTTTACAGAACATTTTCTTATTTCAAGACTATTAGTTATGCTACAGTGTAAAACTTAACATCTAATGTGTAAAAGAAAAACCTCCCCAGTACAGAACACACTTTGCTTAGTACAGAGCATCTTGTACCTCTGAGTGTGCCAATTTTTGGGTGCTGCTGGACATGAGTTGCTAAATTAGATGGACTATAGACCCTATGTAGTTTGGCAAACTTTTTGTAACTAAATATGTTAAAACAGGACATTAGCTGGGGATTGTCCAAGCAGACACAGGATACTGGGGTAACTTTTCCAATGGCAGCTTTTAAAGTGTTTTGAGATAAATGTCATTCTTAAATACCAGCTAAGCATGCACTTGGGAGTCCTACCAGCCATGCTGGTATGTAAACGTTACCTTGTGAAAAACATTTAAACTGAAGAGTCATGTGAGAACTATAGGTATGATTAATGCTGAAAAGATTTAATGAATTTTCAGGTATTTTTCTGCTAAAGAAAGAAACTGGGTTTTTGTCCATAGACTGCAGGAATAAATTACACATCTTGCAACAGCTGCACAAGGTTTGTAGTAAGAAACACATGTGGTGTTTTGGGACAACTTTAGGAAAAAAATCCAAAAACCAAAATTAACCAAACATGTCTAATTAATAGCTGGTGGGTAAGGCCACCTCTCAGAACTGCAGCAAATCCAACAGTAAAAGCTTACTTCAAACTGCAAAATAAATTTTTACTCTAGAAGAAGTGCAAGCCAAGAATCTTCTCTACCTCCATTTTGTACATGAAGGCAATTGCAGGACATGAAGAATTGTTCTGTACAGCTTCAACTTCATATTCAGCAATACAATGGTATATCAGAGAGTGATGGTTATTTCCTACGCTGCCAGACCCTGAGTGAAAAAGGGCATATTCTCTTCCTTTTTTCCTGGCCTTTGGACAGCCTGAAATGTAGCTTGATGGCTCATGTAATTTGTGTAATTTTAGTTCTGGTCATTGTACCAACTCTGAGATTTTCATAGCACCTGCCTAATTAGGCTTTTTCTAACAAGAATTACATAACTACATAGCAAAGTGCCAGAGTTACTGATCCAGTTACTGCATAGTAAATAACCTGCACAATTAGTCTGTCCTGATTTAAACCATGTTAATACTAACAAACTTAAATGCAATCAAATACAACCGTAACTGAAGTGAAGCCATCGCCTCAAATACTGTTTCCCTTCTATTACTGTAATTAAATCTGTTTGATAGGACTTGGATTTCTTTTCCCCAGCTGCTTGAGCTTATATTATCCTTTGTTCATTTTTAAAAATCTCTGAACAAAAAAGCCACTATCAATGTTATAATGTAGGTTTTTTTTCTCCTTGTTTAAATGAGGCATCAATGAATAATTTGGGGATTACTTACTGAAGGATGCTACATAAGTCTGCATGTCATTAAATAAAAGCCCAAAGCAAAAGATATATTATCAGTTAATCTGAGGGAGAATAAAAAAATTTTAAAGGAGACAAATATTCCTATAACACTGATGAAAAAATCCCAACAGTCCAGCTCTTCAGTCATCAAGCACAGATAAATGTCTGTAACTGGCTGCTACGGTAACTGAAGGACAACATCCTATTTCCCAGAAAATCTGAAGGTTTTCTGAGTTGTATTACAAAATGTAAGTAGCACTACAAAATTACATTATTAAAAGATTGTGTTAAAAGTAGTTAAACAACTTTACAGTCTTTTGTTACAAGCAGCTACGCTTGAATCATCTTTGTGTCATAAATATATACAGCACTGAATCTTGATATATAAAACAGCACCAAGAGTAATCATGAGGCAGGATAAAACACAGTACAAGTAGAAAAACCTATGTCAAAATCCTTTAAATGTTTCTGCTGTTAGAGCAAAAAAACCACTCTCAAGTATACCTACAAGTCTGTGCACAGTCTGAGAGTTGCACTTTTTTAAACTAGCAGACAATCCTTTTTATTTTTGTCATACATATCTTTAAGAACCTAAGTTCCAGGAAATCCAGAATACAACCCTTTCACTATAAAAATCAAACCAAGTCACCATGATTACTAGGTGAAACAGTCTAGCCTCTTTGCCTCACATTGGAAAGGATATTAAATCTCTAGGAGCTCTGTGTTCCAGTGTAAGATGAGCTGCAAAGTCATCTGTTATATGATTCGGATCCCCTCCAGGCAATGCTGCACATATTGGACAAATCTGAAATGACAAAGCAAGGAAAAACCCAACTTCATAAATATGACAAGAATCAGAACTTTTATCAAGTCAATCATTAGACATTGACTCTTACGCTTTAAAAATAACATTTTTGTATTCACAAACACCTGGATATCAGTGTATTCAATAAACTCATAAAAATTAGAGAAGTGAAGACATTAATTTAGTCATATTTTACTTTACGATTTTCAGAATACTATGAACTTCAGAAAACCAGAACTAGGATTCTCAAAATCAATTTGCAATGTCTTGAAAGTTAGTATTTTTGCATGCCAATTCTGCCACAGACAGTAGAGTTGAATCTCTAGAGTACAGGATTGCTATTTGCCTGCTTGGCACTCATCCCAGCAGAGGAACCAGCATAAAGCTACCCATATTTGCTAAGTATCAAGCTGAGACTATCCCACTCAGGCAGTGTAAGTTTGGCAGAGAAGGGGTGGTCTCCATACCCCTCTCCACAACAGTATTTTGAGAGCAGGTACAGAGGTCTCTCTTTGATTTTGGGGTTTCCCCCCACCGCCCCCACTTTACAGTTTTTGGTTGGCAGGTTTTGTTTGTTTTGTGTTTTAAACTGAAGTACAGTTAAGTAAGCAGGCAAACATTACCACTACTATTGTCATAATTATGACTTGTTCATTGAATGACTCCACAAACAGCATCTTCCATTTTTCTTTCATTTTTCATGTGTATACTTAAGCTGTTGAATATAGGTCTCGAAAGACCACGAGCATTAAGAACACCTGTATAGAAGAGCACACATCTGTTGTACTCTCATGGTAGTGAGAACAAGGTCTTGAAATAAGTTTACTGTAAAATCTCAGCTGCTTTAGACAGGAACAGCTGCATCTAATTCCACTTTAATTTTAGTGGCCAGTTCTGAAAAGAAAACCAGGCATGTTAAAAGCTTTTTGGTACAATTCCTCCCCTTTTATTTTCAATGTCATTGAAAATGTCATTTTTCACCACTACAGATGCCAAGCAAATGCACTACTGGGCATATCTTATCACAACATAATTTAATAAATACTCAGCCATGCCAACATATCAAAGCTACCCTGTAGAGATATAGAAATGGATGTGCATTGGACATATGGTTTTGAATTCCCTAAATTTCATTACAGCTGCTTAAACTTCTCATATCAAGAGAATGCAAGACCTTCAAAGAAATCTTTTACTTGAGCTACTCTAAGAATGCAGAAACACAACCTAAGAACAACCCACTCCTGAAAGCAGGAAATCACCAGAAAGTTATTTTGTTAACATGATGATGATATGAACTGCACGTTTGTGAATATACTCAAACCTCAGAAAAACATCAGTTAAGAAAATGTCATAACGAATATTGAGTAAGGAATCGAAGTATCCCAATTCTAAGTCTAAATATCAATTAAACTTTCAAGAACTCTTGACTAGGGAAAGTTACTCAAGTACTGTTATGTACAAACAACAATTTAGTTAAGCATAAGCTCTGACAGAGCCACAAGAAAGACTAATGGATCACTGATTAAGCATGATACAGCTAAAAGTCATTGTTAATTATAACATGCATGAAGAAATGGTGCAGACAAAAGGCAAATATTGTCAGAATTTTCTCTTGAATTTAAGAGCATTTGTATTAAGAAATCATGCTACCCTGAATGAAGACTTTAAAGGCCTAAGTCAATCCCACTGACAGAACATCTGCCAGTTTCCAGAACTGTGCTTGTATTATTACTGCTACTTCTCCATTTACATACAAACTAACCACTTTAAGTGACAGCACTTCTGTAACCTCCACAAGAGTCATTGGGATCCTAGAGGATGAACAGGGACATTTTGTCAGACTGTCCCTTCAATTACTGCAAGAAAAAGCTCTGCCCAGTTTCACCACTGAGGTATCAACAAGAGTGCTTCCAATTCATCTACGAGGAGCCTAATTACTGCATTCCCAAAGGTGAGAAAGCTGCTGCAGTCCAATGCAATAGCAGACAATTAGCATTTCTGTTATGAAACAAGACTGAAGAGATGGCATTTTATGAAGTCTACTAAATCTGTTTTTATTTACAATGCTAGCAGAATTCTAGTTGAGCACTGCATTTCATCGGACCAGTCCAACTAACCTGAAACTTAAACACCAACAAAAACAATCATACTGATTCCCAAATTCCTCTGCCTTACAACTCAAACCATTATTCCCTAGACATTATATGGGTGAAGAAATACTGGTTCTTTAGAAGAGGAAGATGGCTCTCTGAACAGGAAGGGAGGCTTGCCCTTTAAGTGAGAGAGCAGCTGGGGTGCATTAAAAGCACTGTCTAGATGGAATATGACCTGACAGAGATCTTACAGGCTGGAATTAAGAAGAAGAGAGCAGGCAAAGAGGATGTTACAGGGCATGTCTACTACAGACCACCTGACCATGAGGAACAAACAGATCAGGCCCTTCAGAAACATAGAGCAGCTGCCTCACACTTGCAGGACCTGATCTTCATGGAGGTCTTCAAGCACTCCAGTATCTGCTGGAAGGACAACACAGCGTGACTGCAATCCAAGAGACTCCTGGAGTGCTCTCCAGGTAACTTCCTCCTCCAGGTGACAAAGGAGCATATGAGGAGAGGTGCGATACAGGACTTCAGAATTACCAACAAGGAGGGGCTCAGTCGGGATGTGAGGGTCAAAGAAAGCCTTGGCTCCAGTGACCATGACATAGTGCAGTTTTGAGATCCAGAGGGCAAGGAAGAAGATCAAAGACAAGCTCATGCCCCTGAACCTCAAAGGACAACATAAGCAAAGCTAAAGCCCAAATGGAACTGAATCAGGCAAGTAATGTCCAAGGTAATAAGATGATCTTCTAGAAGTGCATAGGAAATAAAAAGGTAACTAGGGAAAATGTGGGCACATCGCTCAAAAGATGTGACACCTAGTTATACAGGACACAGAAAAGGCTGAAGTACTGAATACCTCCTTTGCTATGGTCTTTAGCAACTCCAGGCCCCAGAGAGCAGGGGTTCTGGAGTAGTCAAGACACTGCCCTGCTGGAAGAGGATTACTCTGCAGAATACTTTCATGAAATGGAATACTTAAGCCACCAGGCTGTGATGGGTGTGATGCACCAAGAGGTGCTGACAGATGCCACTGTGAGCCTCTTCTCAATCTCTGAACTATCATGGTGACTACGTGAGGTGCCTGAGGACTGGAGTAAAGCAAATTTCACTCCTATCTTAAAGACAGGCAAGTAAGAGGAGGACCTAGGGAACTACAGGCTGAACTACAGTCATCATGCTCTGATCCCTGGGAAAGCAAGGAAACTATTGTTAACTATTTTTAGGAACTATTAAAGACAAGAAAATCATCAAAAACAGTCAGCACTGCCTTCATAAAGGGGAAGACACACTTCACCAACTTCATAAACTTCAATGCTGAAGCATCTGGCCTGGTAGATGACTGAAGAGTAGAGGAAATTGCCTACCTGGACTTGAGATAAGGCCACTCACCACTGTGTCTCACAGGATGCTCAAAGGTAATTTATTGATGCTCAGGCTGGATAAGCAGAGAGTGAGGTGGAGTGAAAACTGTCTCAGTGGATGGGCTCAGAGAGTGCTGATCAGCTGGAATTCTGATTACATAAAACTAGGAGGAGTGGCTGATACACTAGGGAGCTGTGCTGCCATTTGGAGTGACTTTAAAAAACTGAAGAAACGGGACAACAGGAACCTCATAAAAGGGAAGCACAACATGCACCTAGGCAGGAACAGCCCCAGGAATTAGCACACACTGGAGGCCAATCATATGGAACACAGCTTTGCAGCAAAGGACCTGGCATCCTGGTGGATCACAGGCCAGCAGTGAGCTCATGTAGCAAAGAAAGCCAGTGGTGTTTTGGGCTACACCCAACAGCTGGCAGCAAGTCAAGGATTGTGATCCTTCACCCAGCACCAGTGCCCAGTTTTCAGCCCACACATGCACACACTGAAAAAAGCTCAGTAAAAGGCTACAGAGAGGAAAGGAAGAAAGGCTGAGAAAGATGAACTGCTCAGCCCAGAGAAGGGTGGAGTAATGGGGGATGGATCTTAGGAATGTCCATGAATCCCTGAAGGGAACCTGAAAAGATGATGGAGCCATGCAGTGACTGGATGAGGGACAGTGGGCATAAACTCAAACACAGGAGCTTCCTCATAAACATCAGGAACCACTGAAACTTTTCACTGTGAGGATCAATGACCACTGGCACAAGTTACCCAGACAACTGTGGAGTCACTATTAAAGAACTGTGTGGACATGGTCCTGAGCAATCAGCTGGTACATGATCCTGCTCAAGATGACCTCCAGAGGTCCCTTTCAACCTCATTCAGACTCTGATTCCTGCCTGCAGTTACCTAACACTGTTCTACTTATCAATGCCTATACCTGAGAAAAATCAGCAGAAAGTAAACTTATCTGCATCGCTCTGAATATAAAAATAGCAAAATTTAATGGATGTAAAATTATTTTGTTTATTCTTTGAAAAACTGGGGGCAAAAAGCCTTTAAAATATAAATTATTCTGACCCTGTAAAGCTCCTTTACATCCCTAAAAATACATGTCTAAAACACATCTTTGGAAGGTGATACTCAAATGACTACAAGGTCAGTATCTAAACATAAGTAACTGTCTGAAAGCCTATAACCACAAGCATTTAGAATACATAATATTTTCCTCTTTACTAGTCTTGTAGGCCTTCACAATCCCAATAAGGGTACAGTGCCCAATTAATTTTATGTGCATGCACACTAAACATTTATCACAAATGCCAGACTCAGAACTTAGCACAAACAGTAACAACCACATTCAAGGATTAAAATATTGTCCTTTATCATTGTTTGGAACAATGATACAGCAGTATTGCAGACTAATGCATAAAAAAGTTTTGTGGGGTTTTTTTACACATATAACTCTTTCAGGATTTATCAGAGTAGCAGCTGTCAAGAATCACAAATTTAGGCTTTATGTGTGGGGTTCTAGAAGTCACAAGTGCAAACAAGGGCATGTCAAGTTAAAAAACCTGGGATCTGTGAACACACAGTGTTAGGAACATACCACTGACATCAAGTGGTGCAAATCAGAATTGCAATACCAAGCCACCAAACAAAATAAAGAATACAGAACTTTCAACGGTTGATGCTATGCTTGAAAGTTGCAAAGTTTAAAGAAAAACTCAGAAAAATTGCAGTGTGTCACTGAGTTAAATAATATAACACAGTGCAACTGATTGTGAAATAACCACTTAGTGTGTTTTTAAGAAAGATCATAACATCTTTGAGTCCCCAAAAAGGTGAACAAACACCCTTCCACATCACCTCTTCACCCAAGTTCCTTATTATGTTTGAAGAATCATTCATTTTATTCCACAGAATTCTTTGAAAATTAAGAAAACTAGAAGATTAGAATAGAGAACTTATTTATAACTAATTTTACACATGACGAATAATCCACTTCAAGCGTCACTTTTTTCCTAGGGATCTAGGGTAAAACAGTTACCCACAGAACAGCCCCCTCCATGTCATTCTGCTACATTGCTAATTCAGTTTCTCCTATTCCCAAGGTCAATCAAGATAGTGAGAGTTAACATCTCCAATTAAAGTATTTCTGTTGAAACTTGTTTAAGAAGTGCATTTTAATCCACATTTAGTGTTCTAATGGTTAAGGATGGGGGGGAAACCCCCTGCTTTGACAAGAGGAGTTTTAAAACAATTATAGAATTCCACTGCATAAAATAAGAAGCCCATTAAAAAAGCTATTAGAAAACAAATCTATCTGTATGTCTTCCTCTCTCTTACAGTTACAGAAGACTGCCATAGCTGCAAGCTTGCAGAACTATTACACGCTAATCATGAAAAGGGAGACACAGCTAGACAGAATAACTGTGAAAACTTTCTAAATTTTGTCTTACAGTACAACAATCTCCTAATGGCAGCCTTTGTATCAGGACAAAAAAAAATCTAAAAGAAGGAAGCAAGCTCATTATATTATGATACCCATAAATCATAGAAGAATTCTGATGTCATTCACAAATGTATGTACTTTCTCTTTGGACAAAGCATTTAAATGAATACATGCTTCAAGAAAGAACAGGAAGACTTTTTTTCAAAAATGAGACCATTTAAAATGTATTTCCATCATCAAAGCAAGTTCTGAGGCTTCTTACCACTTCTGTTGATGTTTCTGCATGCTCAGAAGTAACATGTTCTTGAAGAGATGTTTCCGTATAACCCATTTTCCCACAATAAGGACAAGTGAAAGACTGTGGCTGCTCTACAGAGAAAGCTTCACCACCATAGTACAAATCTGAAACAGGAAGAAATTAGAGGTTATTTTAAAGTAGTATCATCATTAAATTAGTTCACATCAACTACAGTTGATGTACACGTGCTTCAGTGTAAGCCCTGCTAAATTACTGTTTTTTCACTGAAAATGGCTATATTCAGGAGGGGTTCAGTTACTGATGAAAAAAACAGATACTACATTTAATTTTCATTAGCACACATAACATAGTTTTCTAATATCTACTAGGAAAATAGACTTCCATCATGATGCTGCTGATACTGTCAAATTTTCACTTTTCCACAACTGTTCTTACCCCACATACAGGGTCAAATATGGTATCACACATAAAGGGTCAACTATGGTATGATGTTTTTTATGACGAAATTTCAGAAGCTGAACTCTTGACAAAACCTAAAATTTAGATCAAAATTTAGAAGTTCTCAGTGACACCAAATGTCAGTATTTATGCCATAGCTGAACCACTGCTTTGCAGTAAATAGTTTCAGAAATGTCTCAAATACATAACATACATGTTTGATAGTGGAAACGCAATCTGGGTATCTCTTACACACTAGCTTCAACTTTTAGGTGTATTGAATGTGAGCATTTGAGCACCACTGATGAAAAATAGGCATTTTTAAGTTACCAACACAGAAGTTCCCCAAACTTCAGATGAAATTTTATTAAACCATGCAAAAGGAGAGTATTATTCTCCCTCATACTCTGCAGATACATTTTACAAGAAACATGAATAAGCTTCTCAGTCACATCAATATTTAAAAAAACCAACCAAAAAAAAAAAAACCCTCTTAAATATCAGATTGCTTAAAAACCTCTGCCTATGAAACTCACTGAGAACAAATGAATGTATATTCAAGTAAGGCAACAGTACCAACTCCAACTTCACAGCTGAGCAAAGGGCCCAGGGCTCTCTAGGGCCCAACTCAAGAGAGAGTTGTAAACAGATGAGCATGCACACAGAGGTATCCTTTCCTTGGATACACTGTTAGCTCCAGCCAGATATCAGGAATTTTAGCAGTACACACAGCTCTATCACAGAGGGGGAAGGTTTGATAAGACTGTCAAATCCTGTGTTGTTCCTTGTTTTCAAATGATACAAAAAAACCCATTTATTCACTAAAAAAATAAAAATCTGGGCTATTTGCAGTCTCCTGATTACACCTCAGGCATATTCCCCCACTCACATCTCCTTCCACATCCTTCTCGTAATATACATCAAACACACATGAGACTATGCCTTCCTCTGAAAAAAGAAATATTATAAAGTGCATAGAAGTTAAAGCTGGCAAATCTAGTTATTTTTCCTTTTTAAGTATATACCTCTCTTCTTTTTTCCTCTTCAACTTTAATCTCTTTTACAACCAAAAACTCTTTTCTAATGTAAAATACAGATCACCAGATAAATTCTCCTTTAAATTAAAATCTAAGTTAAAGAAAAAAAGGTTGGCAAGCAAGTGGTTTCATGAAACTTTGTGTCTAATTTTAGCACTGAAGGTACTGAATGAGTATTTCTCCATGCCCTCTTTTGTTTTTATAAGCACATAAAAAATCCTAAAATTATCAACAGTAATATCCTCAACTGCCAAGGGGCCCTTTGCTAATGACGCTAACTAAGAATTAGAGCCAATATGGGAAGAAAAAACCACAATGCCTCCATGGCTGCAGAAATGAAGCAACTTACTATTGTGTTACCATTTCTCATTTACAAATCAGTTTAGAATGCAGTGTGACCATGATCAAAGAATTGTTTCTTCTGACCACAAAGAAATCTTTCAGATTCTGAAATTTTGGTTAATTTTGAAGACAAAAGCAGGAGTCCATACCTCTTCAAACTCTTCTAGACCTCTAAAGCACTCTGTTCAAGAAGTCTAGGAACACAATATGATTTCAGCAGAGAATGCAACAAACTATTTGTATTACTTTTTGTCAGTTATAGCCACTTCAAAATGATGTGGTAATGGGCAAGTCACACACTTAGACCCTAAAGCATACTAACACTTAAAAGTACTTTTTAAGGAAAAAAGTAAAATTTTAGGAAATTTGCTGTGAACTTCTCCATTGTCCTGACAAATTGATCTGCAAAGATCGTAGAAATACAGTGGCTGCCTGGTAAGCACATGCCTGTTCTTTACATAGGCCTATTACAATTGTATCTTTTACCCCTCTGAAATAAACTAACTGGATTTGTGCTTTAAAGGCTACTTCTCATTACATATTAGACTTCATACTTTATTTTAAGCTCTGTCCCTCTTACAGCAGCGTATCACTCAGTATATAATTTTTTCCAGTATCTCTTGTGGGGGCTGAGGAACAGCAGCACTGCCATTGTTCTGGATCCCATCGTGCTACAAAATGAATATATAGAGGTTATATACTGAATCCTGAAAGATAATTATGGCAACCAGATGGTCCAAGAGTGAACAAACATGCACAGCCAGAAAACACTAGTTTTTTTACTTGTTTTCAGTGTTCTCATACTGTCTCCAATGCTAGTCTGAATCTCCGGGGGAAAAAAACTCAAAATGTGTCAAACTGACAACAAAAACTCATTCAGGGTACCTGAAGAAGTCCATCTTCTTGCAGTATATTCTGTAACATTATTACAGTACCTAGGAACTCTTAAGAACTGATCACAACTTTCACAGAGGTAAACAGTATGTAACTTTTTCCATGCTGAAAGGATCATCCATGCTGTCAGCTGTCCACCACAATTTGTTTGCAGCTTCAGGAAGAGAACTTAAGTGAACTCCTCAGATACCTGCATCTAGACAGTGCTGGCCAGAGTGGTGGTGGGATTTAATGATACAGGGTCCTTATCATCATAGCAGATGGATTTTGGGCAAATGACTCACTGATCTCCATGTACACTTTTAAAATCAGAAAAATGACAAGTGACTTCCTCTGGAGTGCTTGCATCACTTTTGCAACAGAAGGATTCCCCACTCTGCTTCCTTTTCTTTGATAAAATACTCATTTTTCACTAACTGTCCACTTTCCTCCATATCCTAAGCCGAAACTCTAAGTTTATTGCTATTAAAATATTTTCATATTGAAACAAATCTGTCTACAGATAACAGCATTGAAGCTTGTCAATAGCCAAGTAAACTACAATTCACACACCCAGTTACACTAACAGTCCACCAGTTTGTGTTTCTATTAACATCTTCCTTACTTCAGAACATTTCTTATTCATACTGTCATTATTATAAGCACTCTCCTTTCATTTGATTCCCACATCTCCAGGAAACTCCTGAAGACTTTTATTAGTTCTGTGCTTGTCCTGGTTTCAGCTGGGATAGATACAATTCTTCTTTACAGTGTGAAGTATGGGGTTATCTTTTGGATTTGTGTTGAACACAGGGTTGATAATACAAATATGTTTTTGTTACTGCTGAGCAGGCTTATAGAAAGCCAACGCTTTTTCTGCTTTTTACACTGCTACAATAACAGTGAAGTTGGGATGCATGGGAGACTGGGAGGAGACACAGCCAGGACAGGTCACCCCAACTGACCAAAGGGAAGTTCTGGACTATATGACACCAGTGCTCAAGAGACAAAGTATATGAAGGGGGGAAGAAGAAGGAAGAAGGCATATTTGAAGTGATTTTTGTCCTCCCAAGTCACCATGGGACCCTGCTCTCCAGACCTGTCTGCCTGGGGGAAGCACTGAATGAATTCCTTGTTTTGCTTTGCTTGTGTGCACTGTTTTTGCTTACCCTATTAAACTGCCTGTCTCAACACAAGACTTTTCAGCTTTTACCCTTCCAATTCTCTCCCTGATTCTGCTAGTGGAGAATGAGCAAGTAGCTGTGTGGGGCTGCTGGCTGGGAGTAAACTACTTAGTTGCCAATTTTACCCTTGAGATTATTTTCTTCTCAGACACTAATATCTAACCTTGGGGATTTTTAATATACACTAATACAACTATCTTAACAACCCTGAATCAGCTAATTTTAGACTACTTCTACTATTTATTATTGATTTTCTAATTAAATTTAACATTTCTTAGAGCCTAATTTTTAGCATGTTCCTCAAAGCTACATGAACTCCTTGGCCACACAAGACCCTTTGAAAAGTCACCAGTTTCTTTAAGCATTTGTACAATAATGTAATGTACACACCTTTATATGTTTTCTACTCTAAATCTAGAGTATTCTAGAACTCTAACATCAAAACTTTTTATTAATGATGTCACAGATCTTCCTGAACTCTAAGGAATAAGTCATTTACCAATCTTCCCAATTCATTCCCCATTCTATAAGCTTACAAGGTCAAGAGTAACTCTATGCGATCAGACTTTGCCGTGGCTCAGAATTTGGTGATATGATTTGTTCAGCAGTTAATCAAACCAGAAGACTTACTGTAGAGCTGAGCTGCAGTATTTTCTTTGTTGATACTAGTTCTGTGGGAGCAATGCTTGGATATCTAGCCATATGAAATTTATAGACCTTCTTACTCTCATTTAGAGAATACACAGTAGAAACACAAAGCCATACAGAAGTTACCCTTCAAATCCTATTACCCATCTCAATACTGCACAGTGAACCTTTTTCATGCATACTTAAATAGTAAAAAACAACCTGTGTCTCTATAACATACACACATAAAAGGCATTAAGCCAAAGGCACATTTATCAAGGATTTCTGAAAGAGAAGTACTCAAGTTGCAAGAAACATAATTCTTAGTAATTCTCAGTTTCTGATTATAGCCCTTTTTAGAGAAAAGTATAGTTTAGAACAAGCTCTCACTGCAGCACATTGAAATCTTTAACATTTAATGTTAGTAGGTTTCAGTCTTCTTACCCCTGTGATTACTATTTAGTACTTACAGCAATGCAGTCCTTTTAGCCCATGTCTGATATCCAAAAATAACGGTTGCTAACAGGTTAAGAAGTTTCAACTGTGCATTTGAAACAGTGACCTCAATCCCTAATACTGTACACAGAGGAAAAAAGAAAAGCCCCACAAGAAACATGTGATTTAAAATAGGGGCATCTATTTTTGATAATGCAATAAATTATTTCCTTTCAAACCACTGATTCCTGTGATCTGGATTTCTGAAGTCATGACCAGGCAGTCTCAGGGCAAGAGGAGCCTTGAGAATTAAAAGAAAATTGAAGACAGCTTCATATAACAGTTGTTTTAAGAAACTGCATGTTTCTATATGTAGCTATTCTCAAAACTTTAGACCAATAAAGTATAAATTTTACCTCTGTTCTAATTAAAAAGGTAAAGAAGTTAGAACTTCAGCTTTTGAGAAATATCGTACTTAAAGGATTCAAATTACAGCTGCAATCACTAGGAAAAAATACTGAAATGCTAATCCCATGTGCTTGACATCAAAAGAAAATAGATGTCCAGCATCAGCAACATCACAGAGCAGTCCTTACTGCTAATTTTGCATACTCATTGCAGCCCATCACTACCTTTCTTACCCTTACAGTCTCATAAAAACCACAAATGAACAACCTTCCTACATAATCTCACCAGGATTTATCTTCTGCCTGTGCACTGTGGCACTTTTAAGCAGTCATTGTTATTAAGTGTATTTATTAGTCTGATAATCTGCTGTAATCAGACCAAAACAAGAAAAACAGAAATGCATATGCAGCAGTTAAAAAAAAAAGGGCAATTCTTCTATCAAAGAAAATATGTCGGCTTATTAGAACTCAAGAACTTGGCCCTTATTTTTAGTGCACTAATGGGGGAAGTGATTAATAATTAGAAACATGAAAATCAGCATTGTGATTGTGGACACAATACAGCAACAAATTACTGGAGTTTAAAATGATCACTTACCAAAATCTACTCTTGTTAGTATGCACTGCATTGGATGGTCAGTTGTGTGCCTTGTTGTCGTTGCACCACTTTCATAACAAGTTGCACACAGATCGTAATCGTAGCAAATTAAACACTTGTACCGGCGACCTCGAAAATTTCCTTTTAAACATGCATCACAGCTGACACCTGTAAACAAATAAAATTGCTTTAAGACAGCAACAAATGCACTTATTTTTTATAAGGAAGACTTGTTGCTATTGCCTCTCAGTAACTATTAAGAGCCAAACATGTCTGACATTTGCAGCTGACACGAGACTCAATTTTTAAGTGCATTTGCTCCCAAAAGCAGGATCTTGAATTCTTGAAGTAAAGCACACTCAAGCACCTGAAATAATAATAGGTTAACTTATAAAAGCTCTTTGGTTGCATCTTCCTGCAGACATCTTTACCTCTTAGTATTGACTGGTATTTTGACTATTCAGTCAGATATTGTGCCCATTTTAAAAGGTAAATTGTATAATAGCTGACCAAGTGGAAAAAAACCACAGCCAAATCAATCACTGCCAAGAACAAGCTAGTTTTCCAGTCTATAATTCAACAGTTCCTAATATTTTAATTCTGAACAGAACTATAGCCAGACATTTCATATGGTGTAGAAATTAGGACCTTCTGCCATGTTTTTTAAATTTAGACTGCATCAGTTCTCTCCATTCTATTTTTCTCTTAATCTCACTCCTTGCAATGTGTAAAGTAGTCACACTTGTCCGTGTATCTGAGAAAGGTTTTATAGCTTCAAGAAGTTTTCATTTCTCTCTATATGGTTTCAGTTCTCTCTGGATTACCTGGTTAAGTGCAGAAATGACATCATCTCATAACGTGCAAAGGCCAACACAAACGTCTTTCAACTGCAGCAGCAACTTAAGGGCTTTCATGAAATAAACCCACGTACAACCAAGGCAGGATTTGCATCAACACTTTCTTTTGCCATCACTTAAGGTTTCTTCTTCACAGTTTGGTAAAAGCACAGACAATTTTAGAGCAAACTGCCAGAATAAGAGTCACATTAGCCATGTCCCTATTTTTTTTAAGCCTAGTTCTCAGAGGACTGGTGCAAGTTACAGAATTTTTTTTTGCATTTGTTTCTACTACTCTACTCAGTAGCATCTAATATAAGCTTTACCACGAGTAATTCAGAAACACACTAATAAGCAATTTATTTTGAATCTTCCCCAACTTGTTCAAAAAATTGCATCATTATATTTAGAGGAGCAGTGAGCAAAGTTACTTTATCACTTTTGCCTTTAGCTTCTCCAATTACTGGACAGCTTGAGGTACTAATAGCTTCTAAGTATGGTGCTTACATGAATACTGAACTTATTTTTTATCCATTTCACTACTTATATATTCTGCAAGCATCGCTCTACATGGAACAGCACATTAGAAGAAATTATCTCCAGAATCTTTGTTAATAGCTGAACTATGTTTTGAGGATGGCATGTTACCATCCTCAAAGTTGGTTTGGCTGGCTTAGAAAAGAAAAAAAAAAAAGGTCTTTCTCACTTAACTTTCTCTTCCCTGAAGTTTCATCCATAAACGCTCAAGGATTTTTAACAATCTGATAATTTAGACAGCAGGCTAGTTTCTGAGAGCACTTGCTTGCTAACTCTGCAGTCTTAATTTCACTGCTTCAGTTGGTTTGTTTGCTTTTTTCCTCCCACACAGAGACCCACAAAATTCTACCTATGAAGCACGCAGATCTCCCCAACAATGGAAGCAGTACATACAACACTTAGCAGCTACCGGCAGCATTGGGACTCTCTTTGTTGCCTACTAAACTTTCTACAAAACAGCTGATCAGCAAGTCAGTTGATTAGAGCTGATTAGACATCACACTGAAATAAGCAGACTAGTTTAACCTAGAGTCCATGTCAGACACTAACAGCTTTCTAACTGATGTACTAACCCATGCTTCTCCAGAAAGCAGCATTTTCCCCACTCTTCATTTAAGCTTGGAACAACTGATTTAATGCTGATAAAAGCCTCTTTCAAACAAACTCCTGTCATGTGCTCTCTCAAACATTTACATCATTCCTACTTAAAGACAGACCTTTTTAAGAAGCTCTTTTATTGCATAAAATTTACATGTTTCCTTCACATCAACACTTCACCACATTATTCCAAACTGCAATCTCCATATATGATGTGATATTAACTTCAGGAAAATTCACCCATAAACATAAACCACAACTATGTTTGTATTTAAAACTTTAGAACATTTGCAGTAAGAATCCACCAGATATTCAAATAACAACAAACTTAACATCAATTATTATAACATCTACAGTCTGCTTCAAAGAGAAAAACTAATATTAGCGTAACACATCCTATGGCTGGTGAAGTCAGGCCAAGAAAATATCAGTGTTCTAGAGACAGTGCTCTTTTTACATCTCTCAAAGTTGGTATTTTACAACAATCACCACATCCTCTGCTCTAAAGAATAGGCTGGCAGCAAGGGATGTAGCAGGTTACGCTTATATCCTTATGTGTAGCAGAGAATGAAAACTGCAAAAGGGAAAATTATTATCTTGAAATTTAGGAGTTAAACACATGGTTAAATCCCCAGACCTGCCCCCTTGAATCCAGCAAGATCTCTTTTCCAGAAATTAGTTATTAGTTATTTTTCCCTTTTTATAACAGGTTAAGCAAGGTCAGGTCTGACAGTTCTTCCTGTTCCTTTTCAAGCCTATTACTTGGCTGCCAAAATCTTGACTACTTACTCAACATACAATCTAGAAACTGAAATAACCAAATAATTTCCTCCCACCTTATTCTTTCTACTATAACAAAAGCTTTTGATTTTAATCTTTTACACTTTAATCTTTGTATCAGCTTAAATTCCAGAAGTTCATTCTACACAAACCTCAAACCCCCACAGATAACATTTTATTTAGCACAGCATGTCTTTCAGTATGTGTCTATCCAACATTTCCCTGCATTTCCAAGTATGGCAGGTATGTAAAAAAAAAAAAAAAAAAAAAATAAAAAAAAAAAAAAAAAAAAAAAAAAGGGAAAAAAAAAAAAAAAAAAAAAAAACGGAAAAAAAAAAAAAA